TACATACATGTATTTTGGGTTTTTATGTTTACATATATGAAATTACATATTTCATACTCTATTGTGTTTTCATATATATTGCATAGAATATGTAATTTTGTGAAAATATTGTATTCTTTATTTATGGACTTAATAACACTCATATACATCTTTTATTAAGTCTACAAAATCATTTTATATTATTTCAAAACATGGTTAAGCTAAAATGTCAAAACTCATATGTTCATATTTTCATGTTATGGACTATTTTGCAAAACGATGATTTTTCATAAATGGGAAATACAATTTGGTAAATTTTTTTTGTAACATGTTTATATATATTTTCCAAAGTTTCATTATTTTTGGACTTTATTTGTTATTTTAACATATTTTTAAAAGTCTCAAAAACTGTTTACAAAAACCTGTGAAAACCTCATGTATCAGTTCGCGGTCGACCGCCACGGTCGACCGCCTACAGTTCATAATTTACTTTGCCTTTTTATGGATCGCGGTCGACCGTGACGGTCGACCGTGGCAAATCCAGAGACTTTCGCGGTCGATCGTCACGGTCGACCGCCTGCTTTCCATAGCCTTTCTTTAACTTTTTGTTGCTCGCGGTTGACCGTCGCGGTCGACCGCCGAACTGTCAGATCAGTTCAACGGCTAGTTTTTGAGCTGTTTTCTCTTGGGCTTTTTGGTCATTTTGATTGGGTTTTTTGGCTGAGGTTTTGGGAGGCTATAAATACCTCCTTGCTCTCATCTTTCATGCATAACTAAGAGAATGTTTTAAAGAAGTTTTAAAAGAGTTTAAGTTTGTTTTAAGTTTGTTTAAAGGGTTTGTTTTGTGAAAACAATTTCACAAGAGCTTGAGGAAGATCATCTACATTGTTTGAGCATCTAACTCTTCTACCTCTCCCTCTTGATCTATAGAGAAGTTTTCCTAAACTCTATTTCTAGCTATTTATTGTTTTATTCATAAATTTCCATAAGCTAGATTTTAATTGAGTTTTTGTTGATTTGATTTCACTCATTGTTTACACACACTCACTTGAGCTTATTGTATTTACATACATAGTATATTGGGATTATGAGAGATTGTAACATTGAGTTGTGCTTAATTGAGTTCTCGCCTTATATTAGAGAATAAATTATTTGTTGTTATTTGTTAGTGTTGTAAAGTTTTCGATGAGCTAGAAAACCGAGTGTGAGAAGTGAACGTTGATCGGTGAGCGTTAAAAATCGACATTGTGAGTGTGAGAAGTGAACATTGATCGGTGAGCGTTAAAAACCAACATTGTGAGTGAGGTGTGAACGTTGATCGGTGAGCGTTGAAAACCGACATTGTGAGGTATAAACGTTATTCGGGTGAGCGTAGAAAACCCGATTGTGATAGTGGATTTCTCCCTAGGAGTGGGGAGCGGAGACGTAGGACGAAAGGTCCGAACTCTGTGATCATATTGTGTGTTTGCATTGTTTATTTACACTATCACTTTTATCTTGTTTATGTTTATTTCACCCTTGTGTTAGTTTATATATCTTTACATATATTACTTCTTTGCTAGGATATATCTCTTTATTCATATTACTTATTCTTGCTTATAACTCTTGTATATCTATCTTACAAGAATATATTTGAATTAGTTTTAATTGGCATAAAATCGGATTAGATTAGCATAAGATCCTAATCACCCCTCCTCTAGGGTCCAACACTATCCATCGATCGAGAGGTCTTTTAAGTGGTGTTCATTCAGGCATTTGGGGGCCTTTTAAGGAGGCATCATTAGGAGATAATCGATATTTGATTTCCTATGTTAGGGATTGTACTAGGTATTTGTGGGTTGCAACCAAGTCTCGTTGGTTTGAAGTCCTAGCAGTCAACAATAGTTTGAGGAAGTGTATTAGCAGAAAGGTAATCTGTTATTCTTTTCTGCATTTGTGCCAAGTTCATGGTAGTTTGAGACATTTCATTAGAGAGGAAATATTAGGGCGACGAGATGAGATGACAGATTTAGTGAGCTGTTCCTTTCTGGAGGAGGATCGGCGTTTGATGTCGAGCATTGGTTATGGTGTTCGGACTTCGACATGTTTGGGTCATCTTCGTTATAGGTTACCGACTGCTGTGTTTGGAGATTTTAGATCTGGTGGAGCTGTTTTAGATTTTGGGTTGCGTCGGATGTCTGGCTACCCAGCACTTAGTCACATTGTGGATGTGAGATTTGATCTGATTGCACATTTGGAATTCAGAAGTTTGTTTAGTTATCAGTTAGGAGACTCTGATTTTGTTCTAAGAAGGTATGTCATTTTTGACTCTCGGCAGGTGAAGAGTGTTGATCAAATCGTTGGGATATCACAGCGGGTGGAGAGTGATGTTACTCCACGTTGGATGGAGATTACTTCACATACTCCAGATCATACTGCATCGTTTGGGATTCCAGCTAAGGTGACACAGGTTGGGGATCATGTGGTTTTGGATGCAGATGATGAGTGGTTTAATTCGAGTGCAGCTGGTAGACGTAGTTTGAATATAGCCATTGGTTCACCTCAGGTGGAGGTGTTTGGTTCGTTACATTTTAGGGTCATTTGGAGTTCTATCAATCGCAGATTTGTTGGTGAAGAGTTGAGAACTCTTCTATTTGATTGAAGGTCTTTGGAGGCCATTTGGTGAACTACTTGAAGGTTTGATTCCTTTGACAAAAGGATATGTAGGCAGTCTTTATGATGCAGCCGATTTGGTAAGTAGACACTGACGTTTGGAGAGTGGTCTCATTCTCATTTGGGTCTCGATTTGTTGTGGATTGAGTCCGTTGTGAATCGTTTCACTTCGTACTGGACGCAATAAGTGGGACATTTGTTTTTTGGTTGGTATCGGCTCAGTTTTGAGAAAACTTTACCGAGGTGGAGATTTGTAGATGAACGCACCTGACCTCGTCAGAGACGGCAAAGATGGATGGGCGATGAGGCGAGTCGCTCGCCAGCGTAGGCGAGGGCGAGATGCTTGCCTGTAGGCGAGGTGCAGGCGAGGGATTCGTCTGGCGAGGGCTTAACAGGCGACGTTTTGGACAGGCGATGAAGACTCGCCTCCGTGCGTAGAAGGGAGAGGCGGTTCGTGTGTCGCCTGCGGGCATGTAGGGCATGTAGGCGAGATCGAGGGGGCTCGCCTGATGGCGAGGGTTTGAAGGCGAGATTGGAGCTCGCCCGCTCGTGTGTCGATCTTGCCTGTTCGGGTTGGGGACAGCTGGATCCCTAGGGTTTCCCTATAAAAGGGAAACCCTATTCGTGAGCACGAGATGAGTGGCAGGGAGCGTGAGAAAACCCCGAGCGGCGACGGAGCTTGTTTGAGCGCGAGAGTGTGTGAGCAGGAGATTTTGGCGGAGGAAATTTTTCCCCCTTTTGATTTGAGCTCTGAATTGGGTGTTCTCTCTCTGCTTTTGTGCTCTCATTTGTTCTCAAGTTTGTCCTCTCATTAATTAAGTGTAGAGGGGTTAGTGAAATTAAATTCGGGTTTTCTTTGGTAGTTAAGAGAGATTGTTTGAGTGGTGATTTTAGATTAAAATCACCTGCTATTTGTTGAAAGATCTCAAGTTTGAGATCTTCTCTCTTATTTGTAATTTCTTGTAATTAATAAGAAATTATTTGTGCCGCTCCCGTGGACGTAGGCAAAAATTGTCGAACCACGTAAAAATTGGTTGTTTGCGTTTGTGTCATTATTGTGATTGTGTTAGTCCTTCTCTCTCGGCGTTTGTATTTGATCTCGGTAAAAAGTTCAACAAGTGCTATTAGAGCATATCATCGGTTAGCACAACACTTTGTAATACTAAATTTTCAATAATACTTCTCAGGATTATGTTCTTATATTATCTCTTACGCTCACTTGTTGGTTTATCATTAAAAAATATATGAAAATAACTCCACGTCTCTTTTAATTTCATCATTGTTTACTAAAAGTTTAAAAGTTAAAACTCTTACCTTTTCACTCTTGACACATAAAGAACTTTTGCCTAATACACCAAAACCACATATTTTGTGAATTATGAACCACATACTTGAAAAGTTAGAGAAGAAAATGATCCCCAATGGAACAGAAAGCAACACGAAAATTATTGTATTAAGACATGGAACCCACTATCATTGCCTTCATTTTAGATATTTCCACCTATCACCCCCCTCCCAAAAAAAAACTTCCATATTTTTAAAATTATCCTTCAAATCTTCATATCTGTCAAATTACCCTTCAATTTGTAGTTAGACTAATTAATATATATTTACCATACTAACAGGGACCAATAATAAATAAATGTATTATGTATGAAACTAATTCATTTTTCAAAAGAGAACTAATCTATTCCCAGCACTCCTAATTATAGTTACTTCTCTATTTTAACTCACCCAGACCTCTTTTTTCTTTCCTCTCTATTCAATATGCAACATTGTGCAGTCAATTTCATTTTCTAACATACCTCAGTTTAGACAGATATGCTTTCTAGATCCATGCTTTAGACATAAGGGTACGTATGATTATGATAAAGCTCCTAGTAATAGAAGAGACGCATCATCATGGGCAACTTATCGAAATGGTATACTACTAAATTTTGTGTGGCTGTTTGGTTGCAATTAAGAATGCAAATATAACCACCCACATCTTTTGGTTTTGAAGCATTTGTATACACCTTCAAGTGCCATTCTAAAAAGATGCAATATCGCTATGTGTGGTAACAGAGATCGTAACTACGCTTCCACCAGATCATTTGATATTTTCAATATATGATCAATATCTGAAACTAGATATATAGTGACTAATACATATCAACTTATCAAGTGACGTTGATATTCTTACTGATATATTAAATTAGCAAGGAAACAGATACAGTTCATTCTTATATAGGCTGAACACAATATTATCACGTAATACATAGTGAAAGTGGAAAAGAGTGGTAACAGAATGATTAAAGAATATATTTGATGTTTAATGGTATCCAGAGAACACGAAACAACTATGTAATTTATGGATCTATATGGCTCACCATCTTTCCATAGTACAGAACCATGCCTATCAGGGATAAAAGGATCCAGCATAACATCAGTGTAAATAACCTACATAAATTTGGAAATTAGGCAAAAACACTATTTTTGAAGAAGAAGAAAAATATAGAATTGAACTTATTAATTTAAATGAATCTCACAATTTCAGGGTACTTATCCTTCAAAAGACGTATTGCTTGAGGTACTAGGCCATTTACATGGTATGCTTCATTTCTCTCATATAACTGAATGACAAAAACACTTGCCAAATATTGTAAAGAGAGACAAAATTTCCACCATGGTTAAACAGGAAAAGGATAAAATAAAAACTTAACCTTTTCAGCACTAGAAGTTTTCGGGATAAGTGCAAACCGGCTAATACCAACATCTCTCGCCTTGTAAACCTGCATTAAAAAAACATATAGTAACTTACAACTGTAATTTATGTAACTAAATAATTTTGTCGCCAATTATGCAAATGATGGGAGAAGGAAGCAGATATATGAAGGCTACTACCATCAACACATATTAACATAAACAACTCAAACAGATGTAATACCTCATCAACAAGCCCGTGTCTCCATCCAAATTTTGAACAGCCAGGCACAGTTCCTATCGGGATATCATCATCACCTGCGATAATTTTTAATTTACATGTAAACAAATAAATAACATAGCTATTTTACGTGTGTATGTGACTTTAAACAAAGAGAGATTGTGCATGAGAGAGAGAGAGAGGAGATGGGACATGCACTTGCAACTTGCAAGAGTCTTCCTACACAATGCGCAAAGTTGAACATCGCAAAGGAAAATTATCTCTTGTTTGGCTCCATTATTATTTTGAGGTAATAGGCCTTTATCGTTTAAAAATAGTGGGATGTTTGGTTTAGAATTCAAGAGTATTAGGATGGAATATTAAGTCCTCTAAAATTAAAGGATCCAGAGATTTTGGACTAAATAAAGGAGGGAGATGGTGTTATTATAGTCCCCATACTATTTTTCCCTTTGCATTAGGCGCTAAAGGACCCATTGCCCCTCAATGGACCAAATACGATGAGACCAAACCTTTACACGTTACTGCTTCATACCTCTATAAAAATCCTCAGTCACTGGAATTCCATCCAGAAGATGCATCTCTAGCAGTGGAAAAATCCAATCTCTCATGAAGTTCATTCAATCTTATGATAAGAAGAAACAGAAAAATATATATGAATATGAAGTGTCTTCATGCTCAAACATGACTTATATTTAAAAGAATTATCTCATAACAGTCTACTTAGGTTCCATCCCTCACTTTGTCTCTTGTGGTTTTCCTCAATTTCAAAAAAGATGATCGCAGACTAGCTTGAAATTGCAAGTCAAACATGGAAAAGTTGACAAAGATTCAATATGAGTTAGCATAAGAAGAATATATATCTATAAGTTGTGTTATCGTGTTTTAGTATTGTTTTATCAGATAGTTTTACATTTAACAGTATTCAAAATTTCCCGAAATTTCGTCAAAATTCATTAAGAGTTGGCTGGTAGGCAAAAGGACATTGTGGACGTTTGTTATCATGATCTAATCAAATACCCCTTTATACTGTTTTATAATGACAAGCTCCCAAACATGACATAAGTATTAGAGGTGTTAATATCAAACTAAACCAAACAGATTAATTAAAAAATTAACTCACTATAGTTTGTTGGATTATTATATCCTTGTACTATAGTGAGTTAAATTAATCCCAGGACGAAAACAAGTCCCTAGTCTAAACATGGCTTTAATATGTAAGAACTTTTGAGTTTAGTTTAAATGAATAAAAAATAGAGCAAATCAGCCAAGTTGTGCCATTTTAGCACATATAAGTTAATTTTTTTTATTAGTTGCTAAATATATTTAATGAGAACATTTTAATTGTTAAGTTTCTTGTAGCTTATGTATATAAACACAACCTCAGTATAGAGTATGAATAAGTACATCAGGCTTGATATGCAACTGTTCGCGCGCACGCAGCCTGGGACCTATCACCCGACTCCTGCACGAGCGCACACATATGTGTGTGTGGGTGTTTTGTGTGTGAGATATTGAATGTAAGTTGTCTCGTTTAACAAAATGAGTTAGCAAGAGATATGAGTTGTGAAGTTCACCTCCTACAAAATGACTAGTAGGATGGGCTTTACCATTTCTTTGTCTCTTGGTAGCTTGTTTAACATGAGTTTTCAACACATCCCCATTTTATATATACACATCACGCGCAGGTATGTGCACCGACACTCAGAGATATATACACACACACATATATTATATGTGTACATATATATAATTACGTCGGATATGAACTACAGCCTCATTTAGCAAATGAGCTACTAGGAGAAAATGGGTGAGGTTAACCATAATCCGATGTGACAAGGACGGAACTCATCACTAGTTTATCTCTTGGTAGCCCATTTATCAAATATGAGTAGCCGGACTGTTCTTATACCCTTATTCCCTCCAATGCCTTG